CATTTTATAGTGCGAAGTAGAAAACGACAACCACCTATCTTTTCTGAACATATTGTTGACTAGGGAGCATTGTGGTTCGATACAAGGACCAGTGTACAGAAAGCCTACAAGGATCCAAACGCAACTAAATTTCAACAGCTTCTGTTCGACGCGATTCATATAAGGTTTAGTAAAAGGTGCATTTAACCGGTCCCAAAGTATGTGCAAAACTTATACGATGGAAGAAGTCAGTATTTTAGCAGAGAAGTTAGTCAATAACACACATTCCACGGGGCGGAAACAATTCGAAGTTGCGATCTGCTTAGTATTTCGTCTTGAAAAAAGACGTGAATGTCAAGCTACGGTATAAGCAGAAATTAAACAGTATGATTGTAAGATGAAGAATTCCTTCAGATTTTAAAAGTACGAATTATTTAGTGAAATTTATTATTCTAACGTAAACAAAACCCATGCTCAGTTATAAATCTCCTTATTATATATGTGATTACGTCATATCCCATTATGAGTAACGATTTAAGATAGACGTTGTGAGGAGTAGTTTTTCAAAATTCACTCTACAACCTTCTGCACATTCATACAGTAGGCAATGAGCCACACCTGCGTTGAAAGTTAACTACCTAAACCAATAAGCCACAACTCCGTTGTCAGGACTAATGGAATTATGAAGTCGAGTATGGTGGAATATATCCCAAAATTTGAAACAATTAGTCCTTTTTATGAATTTGGATAATGTAATTAGAAGACGTTGATTATCTGAAAAATGTGATGTATTTGCGCTATACATTCTGAACAATCTGGTCACACATTTACTTGTTAAGGCATTATATATATATATATGAAAACTGGAAGTGGGAATTCAATAATAAGAAAGATAATGAAAGGAAAAAAACAAAGGATAAGACTTTAAGACAATCTTGGTAATAAGATAAAATAAGCATTACCAAGGTAGGCTTAACGTAAGGACAAACTGTTTTTGCACACACAATAGGGATTTAGATTTATTTATGGCTAGCGTCTCAACAAACTTAAGTATACGCCCTTGACAGTTTCTATACAAAATTGTAAAGTCTGTTTTAATATCAATTCTGTGACCCTTATCAATGATATGTTTAACAGCGGATGATGATGGTTGTCTGCCATCTGCGCTTATCAATGTTTGTGAGTGAATCCAGTTGCTTTCGTAGCCATTTTGTAACATATTCCCCTACTCTCAAGTGCACATCACGATTAGTACGGAGGACTAAATGGATGACGATATCAAAATACTAACGGGAACATCAGTGGAAAATGGATATCCATTAAAGTCCATAAACCGCTGCAAAAAATCAGCGAGGATTCAAACCTAATCTGTACTCTGTTTCGAAGAAATGCGTTTACATCGCGTTACCATACAGAGTAGAATCTGACAGCATAATATCAAAACAAAGGTTAAGATCTGCTGTTAACAAAACGTACTATTCAGCTAAGCTTATCGTAGTTGAGAAGACCAAACACCCTCTGCAACCTAGACTTCAACTCTGTGTAAACGATTACGTCACATCCCACTGCGTTTCTAAATTTATATATGTGTGTGTGTGTGGACAAACATACATAGACAGGACTAATCGTGATGTGCACTTGAGAGTAGGGGAATATGTTACAAAATGGCTACGAAAGCAACTGGATTCACTCACAAACATTGATAAGCGCAGATGGCAGACAACCATCATCATCCGCTGTTAAACATATCATTGATAAGGGTCACAGAATTGATATTAAAACAGACTTTACAATTTTGTATAGAAACTGTCAAGGGCGTATACTTAAGTTTGTTGAGACGCTAGCCATAAATAAATCTAAATCCCTATTGTGTGTGCAAAAACAGTTTGTCCTTACGTTAAGCCTACCTTGGTAATGCTTATTTTATCTTATTACCAAGATTGTCTTAAAGTCTTATCCTTTGTTTTTTTTCCTTTCATTATCTTTCTTATTATTGAATTCCCACTTCCAGTTTTCATATATATATAATGCCTTAACAAGTAAATGTGTGACCAGATTGTTCAGAATGTATAGCGTAAATACATCACATTTTTCAGATAATCTACGTCTTCTAATTACATTATCCAAATATCCCAAAATTGTTAGAGAAACCACATCTAAACATTACAAGGTTAACAAATAAGAACGTGATATAGGATTGAACACAGGACAGTCTTCAGACCACTATATGGGAGCTGTCACGACCGTATACTTGGATTTATTTAAGTCTTAACTATGGGAAAGTTCAACCCCTTTTTATGTGTTTAAAATCAACTTGTTCATCTTGTTTTAATACTGTTTCAGGGTTCAATAAATTATTCAGATCCCCATGAAAAGCTTCAAATCCCTAAAGCGATTCATAGCTTATTACTTTGCCTTGAAGTTTCGAGAAAAGGTACATGATCATGTATGTTAGTATTAGATTGGTTAAAAAAGCAAAATCAATAGCAAATGTTATTCTTAAGAGGCCTAGCATGGATCAACGAGAGTAGCTGTTTCAAGGCATGTTTGTTCATTGCATAAGTATATGTAACCTAAACGATTTGGTTCAATTAGCTTAGTCTACTCGATCACATTGCTCCTGGGTTGTTCCCAGACTTACGAAATATAGCTTCCTAATCCTCAAGAACTTCATCAAGCTATTTATACATCTATTGGTAACACTTATAAATGCATATCTGGTCAGTAGCGGAGAGTTGTAGCTGAGTTGGTGAAGCACTTGCTGGAGACCCGATAGTTACTGGTTCGAATCCCTAGGCGGTTTAAATTCACATTTTACTCTTCAATCATAACCCAACGTCAATACTAGTCTGTCAAACCACGGCTATCTCAGGTGGTCAAACTATAAATTCATTTTTGTTTACAAATTCCTATTGGTTAGTTAGGTCTTGCTTTCAAAATAAGAGAATGTAGAATACTGCAGAAAATTGTAACCTTTGAGGTTGTTGCACTTCAAGACAGCACAGAAAGAAGAAATGAACACCAGTAGGTCTCATCACTGTTAATTTTTCTTTAGATTTACTTATATTTTGTTTAATCATGCTCATTTCAATGAACACTGGCTTATTATGTCTAATGCATAAAACGTCTTACGCATAGGAGATCCTCTACCAACAGAAGTTGAGCAATTCACAAGTATCATTATACCAATAGCTTCTAGTCTATTGATTGTTAGAATGTTAAGCAGAACATTGAGTTTTTGAAGTAAACTTCAATGTTTATCGGTGAACAAACAGAAATAGCATACTGAAGAGATTGTTGTTCTTTAAATACTGATTCTTCTTTTTTCAAATCTAACTGACACCATCCATCTGACTGAAAGATGATATGGTGAAGAAAAACTAAAAACTGTGTAACAACAAGAATTTTTTTTTTTAATTTATCGTATTATTAGAAAATAATTGTTATTTTAAAATTCAAGGACACGAAAGCATAGCACATTTAACCAACTTCATTATCACTATTATTATTATTATCATTAATAAGTAAGTCTATTGCTTTTTCAAGTAGGAGATGTTGGGGCAAAATGATACGTGCGTGCGTACGTGCGTGCGTACATGCATGCGTGTATGCATACATGAACACCCCAAAAACAAACAAACAAACTAATAACATATAACAGCAATAGAATTATCATCTTCGTTAAGTTTACCCATAAGAATAAAATAAGACTTTACTAAGGAAATACAAAGGAAATATTTAACAAGAACAACACATTCAGTTTTTAGTATATATATATATATATATATATATATATATATATATATATATATATATATATATATATATATATATATATATATATATATATATATGAAATTGTTCAGCATTATTGCTAACAGAAAATCATGATATACTAAAATTATCAAATGAAGAAAAACACCTGTAAAGTAAAATTAAAATAAACCAAAAGAGAGCAAGTCATTTTTCGCGCCTTCTTATCAAGTTCAAATAAACAAATAAGTTAAACACAATTAAAAGTAATATTGAACAATGATTATGATAATTGTAGGCACCCCATTTCAATTTGTAGATAAAGAAATAGTAGAGAAATTGATTACGACTCAGATTATGCATTGACTATTGTCTGTTTTTGTTTTCTTTTAAATAATGAATATATCTACGAAAATATATAACACTTATAGATTATTATCCTCCATATTTTATAAATAAACATTTGATAAGAGATGAAAAATCGCCTAAGGCATTATTATTATCAATAATAAATTACAAATAAATGCCATTAAAGTAAGAAAGTAAATCATTAGTCAAAGTAACCAATCACCTGAGTGAGTTGTTCATCCTTTCAATTCACTATGATGACATAATATGCATTGACATGAGTTGTATACGATTGCAGATAACTAAAGGTAGTTTGTTTTTTTCAACTTTTCATTATGTTTGCAACATTGAAGTTATTGTATACATACCTGAATATCAATAAAAGTGTAGTAGATAATTCAAGGAAATTTCTTTTCCCTTTTTTTCTTTTCAAAAAAAGGAACCGAAAACATAAATGCAGAATAGAAATCCACGGAACAAATGAGGGTAAGTAATAACAGAAGGCTTTCAGTGATATACATACTTGTGTGTGTGTGTGTGTGTGTGTGTGTGTGTGTGCAGTCTTCTCAGCATTATGTGTTACTAAGACACATACATGAACTACAGGTAAATGATAAAGGGGAAGGGAGAAGCACTCAGCATATAATGTAAGAGAGGGAGAAAAACATACCACAGGAATGAGAAGTGATAAGATTCACCGCAAAACCAATTAACTGAACAAATAATCCATCGAAAAAAATTGTTCATAGGATGAATTCTTACTTCAGTAAAAGAAATCCTGTCAATCAGTATAGAATTCATGGCTTATTTTTAAAGCTTATTTCATTTTTCGTCTTTATTTGTCAGTTATTTTAATGTCAATAAAAATGAAGGGGGAAGAAAACATACTAATTGTATATTCTTTTGGATATATGAAATGTTCACTTTTTAGGTATGTATAATGTAGTCAAGGCACTACTTCGACGACGATGTAAATTTTCACTTAGAACCGGTTGATCGATCGACCAATCAGAACTGCGCATATCTGACTTAGACGTTATACCAAGACATATAGTGGGAGACTTTACTGCGGTGCTGAATAATTCACACTGACCATCATCGATATCATCATGAGTAATAACAGATGGATCACCGGGAACATTACTTGTCATGTCATCATTGTTTACACGTTTATTATTATTATTACTTGTGTGATTTTCTCTTTTATTTGTCTTCTCCTCTAGATCTGAATGCATACAATGAAGTAAAGTGGAGTATGTGAGAGCAGGGAAACTTTCATAACTTGTTGATTGCAGAAGATCAGGACCACTGAGAGCAGTTAGTTTACTGACCTCAGTGCGATCATGTGAAAGTGAATGCATTGGTATATGATGATATATAAGCGGGTCAACAGATGAATTTATAGGCAATGCAGTAGGTATTAAAAAGGAATGCGTAGTTACGCTTTGTTCATAACCGCTAGTATTTGGTTCACAATCTTTATATTTTGTGGAATGTTGGAATAAATTATTCGATTGAGAAACTACAAAGAATTGTGGTGATGGAGAATTAATAAGACTACTGAAACTATGTCCATACACTGGTGATAATGATGGGCATAATTTAGTACGACAGTCTTCATTTACTGACAAGGTTACACGTGGATCAGTTTGCTGAACAGAAAAATTAGACTGAATTAAATCACTTGTTGATGAAGTGAATAGAATTCTTGGACTGACAACTTGTACTAGATCAGAATTTACATATATATCGGTTGTTAGTTGATCTTTCATATTACGATGCATCTCCAATAATGATATTGTTGACATAGCTGTTTGTGAATGTGTATCATAAACTGATATATTTTCATGTAAATGTTTTAATCCATCTGGAGTGAATGATAATGAAGGCAGTGTAGTAGGACATAAAAACCATTCAGCACGTCTTGTTAAATTCTCCATTTGTCGTCTACGCAGTGAACGATAACGACTTTGATTACGTCGAAGATTTGTACCAGTAGAATAAGAAGCTGTATTCATTCCATCTGTTAACAGTTTACTAGTTTCGTGTACATCTGCTTTAGCATATGAAGAATATTTAACATCATTCTTTTCAATAGTTGTTAAATCTGATGCCTGAATTTTAATCAAGAAAAAACAAACAAACAACACAATTAAACCACAGTACAAGATCGTGATCAACTTCATCGATCATCAAAACATAATATCCATCAACAAATACTAATCAAGAATTAGCTATCCTTGTACAATAATGTCTCTTAGACACAAGTGTGAAACCCAGCCACACACACTTTCTGTATAAGACCTAAACGACACAGGCACATAAACCTAATTTGTATAATTGTAGGTTAAGTATGCCTTGTTGCTATGACACAGTTGTATAAGGTTAACTAATCCGATACCAGCATCAAAAGATTACAATTAGTAATGCAAACAAAAATTATTAAAAAAACATTTGAAAAGTAAACTGACAGAAGTAGGAAATATAGACCATTGGAAACCAACCAAATGGTTCAATGGTAGCGCGTTGACCGAGAGACCTTAAGGTCTTGGGTTCGACCCCCGGAAGGGTAATGAGTTTCCATTGGTGAGAAGTAGCTGTCTACTGACCCCAAGTTTCCAGTGTTTCTCCAACTGATTTCACTTCATGATCAGTACTAGTCTGAATTTATTTGAAAAGTTGTTTTGATACTTTTAATTCCCCGTTGCTATGAAGGGCCAAAATGCTCGACCTCTGTTGGCAGATAGATTCTTATGTGGATGTCTCGATACTGTCGGATATTCATCTTGGTGACTAGCAGGAGGATGCAGAACGCGTGCCTCGTCTTAAATGGAACTCTGAATAGCAACGGGGAATAAGAAGTATCAAAACAGTCACTGATACCCGTCGCACAAGAGATGACTATTATACCTCAGTAGCCTGGTGGGTACGATTTGGCGTTTGTAGCGATGGGTACTGGGTTCGAGTCCCAGTGGGAACAATATCACTCAACAGGGTGTATGTAAATCAAGCTGATGAGTCCCAAATGGGACGAAACACGTATCCTGGATTCCTCTGTTAGTGACTTGAAAAGCGTTTGTAAAGAAATTTGAAAGATGAGCCTATATGATGAATAATGGGAAGATCAGTCGACTTCAACCCAATGTCTTATTATTACCGGTTTACAACAGAAATTCCTGGATGTTTACAGCTTGTCTATCACTCTTATGCTTGAAAATTCTATAGTCAACACAGATATTATTCAATAATAGGAAAATGGCAATAAAAAAATCTGATTTCATTCTGCTGTGAAGAAAAATCAGGTACTTAGAAATTTCTGTATGAAACCAATTTCAGTCATAGGGATTAAGAATAGCAGGCATTAGGTCCGATCGCATCAGATCAGTTAGCTTGTGGTTGAGCTTTATACAAAATGCTAAATTCACTTTCTTGTAAATCTGAATAAGTAGTTATCAATATCACTTGGTCCGGGTCACCACTAGGACCAGTGTTAGCAGACTTTTTCATGTCAAAACTAGAGAATTCTCAACTTTGTCAAACTATTAATACCTTTGACTTTTATAGAAGATATACAGACGACAAGTTTGTTATCTGTGATAAAGATGTTGATTTAAACGATGTTCTTCTTTCGTCCAATGACTGTCATCCAGCTCTCAAGTTCACCATAGAGAAGGAATCAGAATCAACTATTCCTTTTCTTGATATGCTTCTCATCAGACGTAAGAATGAATACCTCAAAAGATCGATCTACACATAAGCAACGTGAAACGGACAACTAAGTAATTTTTATAATTGGGTGCCTGTCAATCGAAAAAGAAATCTTATTCACTCTGTCTGCTATCGAATAAGAAATATGTGTAGTGACGATTGCATTGATGAATAGCTGTCGTTTTAAGAAAGTACACTTATCGAAAACGGTTACCCGTGCTGTTTTATTGATAAAAATATTCTACAAAGAAATACTAAGCCGACCATCCACTCGGTCTCAAAGAAAAGATTGTTCATGAACCTAAAATTTAAAGGTTATCTAGCATCAGATGTACTAAAGAATCGTCTATACAGATCAATCAGTAGAACTTTCTTCGCAGCAAGTTCGTCTAAACTTCACACGTTTTCTTCGTTTTCAACTCCTTAAAACAGCGGAGGCTATAGCTATTCATGAATTAAATAAAACCTGATCTATATCTACATAAGGAAGTATGTAAAGTCACTGTTTTTTATCATGGCCATAACATTTTCCCACCCTATTAGTTTCCCTTATATATCCTTGGTTTATCACTATTATTGTTATTATAATTACCGTCACTTTGATTAGTTCTCGGAATTGTTTTACTCAATCGGCTTAATTTTTGTTTTGGAAAACATTGATTTCATCTTGACTAACTTGTCGAATCTTAGTACATAATACTTGATTGATTTACCACTTTCATCAAAATTTTCACCCCTTTCCAAGTTAAATACCTTTTATGAACCATTCTATATATTACGTAATCTGCCTTGTTATCATTCATACTTCATTTGTTATCATAATCACAAATGTCTATGTCATCACCCGTTTTATTATTGTTATCATCATCATATTGTGTTTACTTTTCCCCGTGTATACAAATGTACAGCGTCACAACAAATCCATTGAAAAGAGTCTCTTCGCCGAATATTCTGGTTTTGACAATTATTATTACTATCATTATTATTATTGTTATTAAGGGTTATACTTAAATTTTAAGATTAAAGTAGACAGAAATGTGATATTGAAAGCTGGTTTCATACTCGTTACTTAACTTACATGTACAGATGATGCAATCGACTGGACAGGTTGAACAACTATCGATTCCATAATTTTATCTTGATCTTCTACTGCTTTACTAACATTCTGGTATAATGAAGACTCAATAGATGATTCCCTATAAATTTGTGAAGATTGTCTATTTTTTTGTAGTTGACTTAGGTCTTTCAATGGAAAACAGAAATGTTTCAGGGATGATGATATTGATGTTGGTGAAGATAACAGCATGTTATTTGAACTATTTTTATTATTATTAGCAGTAGCAGTAGCATCAATAGCATTTGTAAAGCAAAATAAACGACCAGCAGCATTGATGAAACGAGCTGAACAAGGAGATTTTGAGTAAACTATAAATGGACAAATATTGAAACAGTACAATTATTTTTAAGAGTAAACAAATACTGATGTCGACTGGAACAAGAACATTATTATAGTAGAATATAGACGGAAAGAGTGCTAAACTGTAATGTTTTTAAATGTTATGAGAAGTAAATGAAACCCACCAACTAACCACCAGATAGTAATCAATCAGTGTGATCATCAAGCTAGGGGACTCAACATTATGATACACTTTGTTGATACCAGATGGTTAGAGTAGTCTTAAGTTTCCTGCTCCTTGATACTCACTAACAAAGCATATTTGCAACCTTAAGGGAACCAGTGATCACTCACAGACTAGAAGCCATGTCATCCAGTGACGTAGTCAAGATGTTATCCCTGAATAAATCTCAGACTATTAGAAGAACTTTGACAAAAAAGAAGATAAAAGACAGAATTTGTCTATCTTGTATCATATTCACACAGCAAATTTTCAAGAACTCATGAATCAATAGAATCAGGAAATATGAAACATTATAATCTGACCCAGCGGTTTAGTGATAACGTACTGGCTGCGGACATGAAGGTCGTGGGTTAGATCCCTGGCAGGGTTAGGGGTACGCACTGCTCACTCCCACACTAGGGAAAAACAGCTATCCAGTGATCTCAGGTCTCCAATGTTTCACAAAAAAGTAGTGCATCGACCCTGACCTCAAGTTGAACCCACCGACTAAGGTTTAATGTGATGACGTATTGTTTTTGTACACACATTCAAGGATACATCTGTAAAACGTTTTGTAAATAGGTATAACGAATATATAAACATTAATCCTGTGACTTATCTCAATGATATTTTTCGTAATACAAGAGTTCAGATTTCATACCAACTTTTATGAGGTCAAATGATTTGATTTACCTTAGTTTGTAGATATTCCCTGCTGATGAGTAACAACAGGTTCAAAGTTCGACTATATAGCCTTCTATTGAGTGTTTGTGTATTAGAATATTCCTTAGGAATCGGGAAATTAGATTTTAGAGGAGTTCATACCCTACTACCGAAAATCGTCCGGTCAGCTAGTAGTCTGTGTATAACGAGGTTCACTACAATATTGAATTGTTTCATTTACAGTGCAACAATAAGATAAAAATACTAAGATTAAAGCTAGAGACTGTTTTGCATTATTTTTTACAATACAGCCTCATATCTTCTTCTTCCTCTGACAACAATAAAGTTCCTTAACATGTATGAATGAAAGTGAGTTAAGCGTTTATTCCAGTGACCTGAAGTTAACTCTTTACTCTACATACAAATACCCGTGATACTGTAACGGCAAATTCTTTAGGCTAGTTCACAAAGCAGTTTGAATAGACGTTTACCGAAAAATGAAGTCTGCTATATTTAACGTGATAGCCACTCATTCTAAAAGGATTTATATCAAAATTCATCTCCTGAGAGTTTTTTAGCGACCTATTGGATAACACTTCGATGTTAGAAGTGATGAGTACTGCGTTCGAGTCTCACTGTGAACAATATCATCCACTAGATTCAGGTACATCGAGTCGATGACTCCTAAATAGGACGAAACGCATGCCCTAGATTCCATGCTAGCCACCAAGCAGACTAATAGAGGATAATCTATATGGATTTCTTACCTGATAATGAACAGATTTTATTTTAACAATTGATGGATGTTAGTGCACTACGATGGTGAACCTCCCAGTTTGGTGACCATATTGCTAAATGATCGATGGAATTCGGTCAGCTCTCAGTGCTATACAACATGAGATGAGTTACTCTCCATTGGCCAGTCACTGGTTGTGCAGAATACTTTCTAGACTATGGACGTACTATCCTAAAAAGTTATGGTGTCGTATATTGAACCACTTGTTTTTCATGTCCCAGGCTTGGTCTTGTGTAGGGATATGAATACAAACTGCTAGGAAGACCTCAACTACGAAGAAATATATACGTTCAATGCTTTCTGTTCTGAAATAGTTCCCTAGTTCATATCGATTGTTGGTGAAAAGTACCATGAAGTCAATTGGTTTTCAACAATACTTCTTTTAGTAAAAGCATAATGATACGAATATACTGAAGATAAATTACCCACCTGATTTTGAAATATTTATCTTTGTAGCACCTCGACCAGTTTGTTTTGACTTTCTTAGTTTATAACGATTATTTAAAACATCCCAGTAGAATTGTGTGAATTCTTTATCAACTACAGGGAAACAAAGTACCAAGGATTGGAGTACCTGAAAAAACAAACAAATTGTTATGATATTCTCATTAAAGAGTGTTATGAATTGTATTCAGCTTAATTATTCAACGATTCATGTTACGTTTCAAATTTACATCATGGAGTGTTATCAGGCAGAATCAAGGAATAGTGATTAGTTTCATAATCACCTACGTAGTTGCATCACATTGGTCTAATTCACTGATCATCTCGGGATATAAGAAGGGAGAGGAATCTTCTTGTGATAATCACAGGGGAGTGGACAGTTTGAATAACATCGCATTCTACGGTCTATAGTTATTCGACACCTGACCACAGCTCAAGAACAACAAATTCGAGGAAACGAGACAGATTTCAAACCTGGAATAGGAAGAATTGATGGGACCCTTAAAATTCGACAAGTTCCTGAACAGAAGCATAATTAACGGTGCCCGATATGCAATATTTTTTGATCCGAAGGTGGTTTCTACTTTGTCGACCGAGAGGTGTTGTGGTGGTGTCTGATTGTGAAGGGGGTATCAAGAAAGTGAGTAGTGCTAATCAAACCTCTCTACTTGAGCTAATGCAACCATGTAAGGGCTTATAGACAATGGTCGTCTGAATTGACGAAAACTAGTAGTATCCCTAGAAATACCCGCTAGCACTCTTCCTGTTTGGCTCTGTTATGAACGTACTAATGGACACAGGTCTTCATACATCCGACTTAATACGAATAGACTTACTCTATGGAGAACGCCTAGTTGACTTGGAGTATACAAACGACATTTTTGTGTTAGGTGAAGAAGCTGAAAAAGACGAACTTTTGTGAACGTCTTAAGCAGAAGTCAACTTATGTCTGGTATGCGTTTGCATCTGTCAAATACAAGATGGTTCTTCAGGAATGATGTGCAGCCACTTCCAGTTTAAGGATAGAGAGTGAAGTGGTAGGATGAGTTGACCATTTCACATAACTGGAGAGTTGTATCAGAACGGACGGGTTGACTACTGACAAAATTACAGCTCGGATACAAAAGATTCGTTTAACAATGGTTATGGAGTCAGCAAGACACCCAATTACCTGTTAAAGAATAACTATGCTGCATCGCAGCTCATAGCTGTGAGATGTGGCCGTTGAAGGTAGATTTGTAAAGATAAGCCGGAGTATGATTAGGTTGGGAGAAAGCTACGAGTAATCAGATCAAATCATGGTGCCAGTTTAGAATATCTTTGACTGTCATTCTGAGTTATGTCGTGGGGAGAAGGTTGTCTGTGTGTGGTCATCTAGAACACAGGAATTCACGGTTGGAGAACCTTGGTGACATAGCTCGAAATCTTTCATAATGGCGTAAATGTATCCACTATTTGTCATCTTTGAGACCGAATATCTTCATGAACCTTCATCCATTTACTTCTCCCATACTCATGATCTTTCATCTAAATTAGTATCACTTTTTCGATCCAATTATCCCCTGTATGCTGCTGTTTAGTGTGGCAACTAGAACCAATGCATCTGTATGCCAGGTTGTACTACGATTTGTCTGTTTCTTGACGCAAAGCTTAGTGTTTAGGCTAGCGCGATCAATTATATCTCCGGATGACTTCATATGGACTAAGTTTTCCTTGTGTTACAACGATAGATCATTCAGGATTTATTGATCAATTGTATCATTCCTGATATTATTTGGCGTTTCCGTGTGTTGCTGACTGACTGGAGGTAATTTTTCAGCAACCAAAGAACATGGTTTCGCGTTTGTTGTCATTTGTCAGTAAGGTGTATCCATGACTTTAAGGCGGATACTGCTTTTACACATAACAAACCAAGAGCCAGGAGTGTTATCATTGAGGTATTCATATCACGAATATCTAAGGATAAGATAAGGTAACAGCGATTAGTCTCCAGTGATGGACCAGGGTTAGTTTCAGTCTTTCCTTGTTACCATCCTCAGTAATCCAACGAGGCTGTGGGAAGAATCAACTAAGACAGAGAGAAGATTTTTCAACACTCATAATTTAATGCTTGTATAACATTTTAAAACTTTTAAATAGAAAATTATTTCCTTCTTTGGATTGTGGTGAACTACTATACAGTAGGCGTATTAGGGTTCACTAAATATTTTCCACAACCAGTTGAAATTAGAGTGGTAAGGTAATCACACCAAAAAGGCATATCATTCAACATACATTCAACAAATCACCGCTAAAAGGATAACAAAATAATAGCGCTACCATCAATTAACAAAGCATTTCAATAATTTAAAAATCCCCGTCAAGTCACAGAACAAAAGACGTCTAGCGAAGAGTTACTCTTTTCACCTATATCATTCTCAAGCTATATATATATATATATATATATATATATATATATATATATATATATATATATATATATATATATATATATATATATAATCTAGATACACCAATGAAATGATTTTAATTATCAACCATCTTTAATTATTGTACAGTCTAGTCCTACGATAATTTACTAGTAGCCGGAAAAGAGTCTTTGAGTACGGTGTTGAATGATAGGTTTTCACTTTTGATGAAGCATAAATCTTATATGCAAAGATACTGCTTGTTAGTGAACAGTGAAGAGTTTAGTAGCTCAAATGATAGGGAGTGAAATGGAGGGATGTGTAGACCACTTCACTTAATTTGAAGAATCGCATCAGTCCGAACGGGCTGGTTGCTGATGAAATCTTAGCTTGGATACAGAAGGCCCGTATAGCATTTGTTGGCTTGCGTCACCTATAGCACCGAAGAGATATCTAACTGTCCATCAAAAGACGAGTGTACTGTGATGAAGTCTTTCTTGTGAGATATGGCCGTTGAAAGTAGAAGACATGAAGCGGTTACAGGGTGTCTTCATTACATCGCTCGGATTTGTTGAAATCTCATGTGAGCAATGTTGAAGTCAGGCAGGGGGCAATAGGCAAGACAGGGAAGTCAGTCGATGAGGTTGTGAACCTTCACCAGACAAGGTGGCTTGAACATGTGTTGCACATGGCAAGTTACCACCTACCTCGACGTGCAATACTAGACGAAGTTAGATTCAGTTGTAAGAGGGTTGAGGACGGTGAGACTTTAAAATGCTACTACTCAGTAAATTCTTTGCCTGTTGGTCTGAGCCATGTGGAGAGATGTAGAGTACTTGGTACTCTGGGGTCTCCAAGACGAAACCAGTCGGTGTTCAACGACTCTTGGTGACACGGCTGGAAAGAGGTTACAGCGGCACAGATGTACTCACTCCTTGACGTCTTCAAAAGCTTGGAAATTTACAAATTGTTCATTCTCTTGCGTAGCTTAGTCTACTTTGATATCAGTCTTTTCCTATCCACTTGTTGTTTGTATACTACTGTGAAGTGTGGCAATTCGAACCGATGCATTTGTTTGCAAGATTCTGCGTTGATTTTGACTGTTTGTCTTAGTTGTTCAGGACTTGCAACAATAATGGGAAGTAATTTTAAGAATGAAAAAGTGTTTTTTACTGACACCAACATCGACCGATAGTCATCAACAGTAAACATTGTTGATAACCATAATTTTTTATCAGTCAAATTTTTGATTGATACATGCCCAATATTAAATTGCATCAGAAGCCATTGTAGTAATGATTATGGACTGAGATAGGTTTGAAAGTCACTGAAAATCTGGAATCACTGGAAAGCTGTTTCGTCCAAGTTTAGTACCCCTCAACATTGAGCACCTATGACACTATGAGAGATCAAGTCCAGGATCATCAACTCTTGTGGAGAGACATTATCACTCATCCGTTAGGGTGGCATACTGTGGTCCACGTTCTACAACTACTGTTCATTCGTGATATAGCATGACGTTGTTCATCATCATTCAATGCATCGTCCTTTATTCGTCTTAGCACTAAATAGAACTGATTCTCTAGTTCAGGGCTTCTCACTAGAACTTCGAGAAATTCATCTGAAAGCAACTGACTGATAAGCATTTGGCAGTGCTGAAAGGTAACCTCAGGTTTCAGTGGTTTTCAGAATAATGCCAGTTTTTGATGAATACTATCTCAAAATTAATCAATCTCCACACACCAATCATTCACTTCTGTCAAAAAATCAGCTTGAATTTAATAATAGGTAAATCCTATGGCAAAATCATGTTCATATCTTTGTAAAGACAAGTATAGACATCTGAACCAATCAAGATGAAGCTATTTCTTGGTACTGACTAGCATCATTTAGAGGGTCGGTGAAAATCAGGGGTCGTAGGACAGTCATTTCATAGACCAAGGTACAGGACTAACCAATTTACACAAACCACGGAAATGAATAGTAGTAAACACACTAAAAGTGGAGTAATCAACCAGAAAAGTAATTTGCTTTAGTAACATACTTAGATTCATATTAGAAGATATTAGCAAACAAAAACAGGAGAAATCTTATCGCCAAATATTTAAGCACGTGGGAAATCATGAAAACAAAAGACATTGGAAATGAAGTGAAGAAAGTTTGACTACTTATAAGTAGATACTTGAGCATTGCAAATATAATGCTAACAATTTCCAGTTCGATTGAAAACAAGTATACAAATCAGTCGACAAAGGAACTTTAAGTACTTTGTTACCTTGTTTCACCTTTGTTCACCATATCCTCCTTTCTTTAATGAGAGAAATATATGTTAATATGAAACGAATGGGAAAAAAATTATTTTTACCATTCACTGGAACATAACTCGTACTGATGTTTTGGCGTACTGAATTTTATCTAAGGTAAACCTTCTTCAAGCCTTTGTAGAAGGCTTTTACTGATGGAAACACATTGTAATGAGCTAAAACCTAACTGAACATTAAAGGATATTCAATTCTTCAGACACATAGTGTTTTGATTCGTGAGACTTGACCCTATACATCCGAAAAATTGTAATGGACACAAATATAGAAGGGGTCATGGTTGTAGGTAGTCGAAAACTTATGCCGTGACAAGAATAACACCACTGGCTTCTGAGATGCTGACCAGGTACTCAGCTATGCAATGGGTAAACTATGAAGAAATCTGCTGTCGATGTTTTCCT